TTGTCAAGCGATGGAACCGATGGGTGTTGGACCTGGCCACAACACCGGATCAAGGGATCTGTTATGGAGTTCAATGACAACTCTGAGAGCTGGCCTTCTCTTTTTGATCGGATTCTACCCTGAGCCTAAAGAAATTGAAATCGCAACTCTCAAGCAAGCCAATAAAGGCTTTATCGTAGAAATCGACCACTCGGAAATGTTACCAGCTTCGGATGAGGGTCAACGTTCCGTTAAACAAAATTCAACGAGGAATTGGGTTGCTTGCAGTTTTGGAGAAGCATACTGGCATTTTTAGGTAAGACGTTTTGGCGGGTATGTTATGCATATATTGTTTTACTTGAACAACTAGACCGGCGAATTTCCCTCAAAATCTTGGGACAGCTTAAAATTTGTTTTCCTTTTCCTGACAGAAACTCCAAATGAGGCGATCCCCCAAATACAGATTAAAGCCCTAAATTTCTCGAACATGAAGGAAAGATTATAATCAGCAGCATGGAACCCACTGAAAAGGAAAGACAGCAACTTCTTCATGAGGGGATGGGGTTACAGAGAGGTCTTGTCTGAATATGATGATCGACCATGAGTCTGGCTTTTGGAAAAAAATACATTCGATCACTGTACTCACCAAATGGAAAGTAAGCAGGGATGAGTGAGCTTGCAAAGAGATCCATGATATCAATGAAGCCATTGAAGAACATAAGGCGGTAACAAGGAGTCTTTAGCAGCTTTCCACGGTACATTCCGATTAGGCATACTATATAAAGAGCCTGGCAATAAAACGTTTCTCAGTTGAGCACAAACGAATAGGTAAAGTCGTATGTTGAGTGCGATCCTGCCACTTTTTATCCTTTTCAAGTACGCGCTGCTCCTTCATTCCTGGGTTCCGTCGAGATTGCTACCCACTACCTTTGGATTTCCTGGTATATGTTTCACCCTGTCTTCGATAAAAGAAGATCTCAAGGAGCGAAGAGCAGCAGTATTAGCTGAAGCAGCAGAGGCTGGGAGGAGCATCCGCAATGCCCGCCGAAGCTTTGCCAGCTACAAGACCAAGATGACCTGCCTCCGACGCAGGGTCAACCCTACGTTGTTACGAGTAACAACGGGGGGGGTCGTACTCAGTTGAGCTTGGAGAGGGGGGTCGTACTCTCTCGGTGGCCGGCAGTGGGATTCTTGGTGATATCCTACTGATCATGGATAGGGTACGAAGGGAAAGAGCAAACGCAGCACAGAAAGTGTATATTATGTAGTGTATATAAGTGCAATTATGCAAAGCCTTCTCCCCGCATAGACGCAGTGATGAAAGAGGAAGACATGCAGCATCGTCTGAAAAAAGGGCTCGCACATGGTCAATGGGATTAAAGCTATTTCGAAAACCAAATTCATGAAACATTGCCCGTGAAACATGACGATAATGAGCCAGCACGTTACGTTTTGCGCAAGTGGACGGAAACTGAGAGCAAAGCTATTGACCACGCTCCTTCTCGAGCTTTCATGAGTCGGATCGGCGAGCGCCCAAGGGCGGTGGCGCGCACCAAGGGCAAGGGTAGTGGGTGTAGCGCAAGACGGGAGTGGTCGAAGCTTTCTAGCACCTCCTAAGTTAAACATGAAATTGGTCTTCAAGAAGTTACGGGCAGTGAAACCTAAGAAAACCCGCGTTTTCGAGAAAATGGCTTGAAGAATACCCCTCAAAAAAAAGTAACAACGGGACTAATTTTTGAACTGCTGATCTTTCAGGAACGCTTGGGTGCTCGTTAGAAAGCTTGAAACCTGTAGTTTATTATACCGTGTTCAGCTTCCCAAATGAATGACTTTGAAGGAAGTTATGATCGTTTGAAGGTCAAAAAGTCGCGGTTCCAAAAAAATAGTAACGCAAACCCCCAAAAAAGTAACAACGGGACTAATTTTTGAACTACTGATCTTTCAGGAACGCTTGGGTGCTCGTTAGAAAGCTTGAATCCTGTAGTTTATTATACGTGTTCAGCTTCCCAAATGAATGACTTTGAAGGAAGTTATGATCGTTTGAAGGTCAAAAAGTCGCCTTTGCACAGAAAAAAGTAACAACGTACAAAATTTTTACTAAATTGACTTCCGAAGAATTTTTACCCATGGTTGGATAGAAAATAATTTGAATTTTCCAAATCAAATCACTTCGGCGCTGAAGCTCGAATATGAAGGAAGTTATAGCCCTAGAAAGAGGAGTGTAAAAATTGCGTGTTTCAATTTTATTTTTTGCCTAATAACTTATTCATTCCGAAGTTTTTTTGGGGGAGGAACATGAGGGAGGATGGGAGGCATTCGGGTGAGGAAAGAAGGAGCCACGTCGATCCAAAATCCACCTGAATCTTCCGAACTACCTGAAATGTAAAAAAAAAACTCGAATTTTCACATTCCCCGTTCGACGCCTCTTCACCGTGAGCAAATGCGCTCCACCGTCAGGAGGCCAAAGGGACTTACGTAGCAATAAATATTGATGGTAAACACTGTCTCTACACAAGTGTTACATAAGGGGGGGGGTCGTATCAAATCACCCATGAAGGGGGGGGGGTCGTAAAAAATTTCCAAAGAGTAACAACGATAGGGTTGACCCTGCCTCCGACGTCCAGATGGAACAGTTACTGCATCCCGAAGGGCAATGGAGAAAGTCATCCACGACTTCTACTCGGATCTCTTCGATAGCCATGTCCATCTGCCCACTTATCAACTGCAACAGGATGGATACGTCGTCCCCTCAGTTCTCTCTTCCGAAGTCCGACACGCCATCAAGTCGGTGAAGAATCGTACAGCACCCGGTCTCGACAGGGTCAAACCGGAACATCTGAAGAATGCGCCGCCAGTTATCATCAAAACTCTGGCTCGACTCTTCACGCGCTACCTGTCGGAATGCAAGGTACCCACTCCGTGGAAAACCAGCAGGACCGTGTTGCTGTACAAGAAGGGAGACCTGGACGACATTGGCAACTATCGCCCAATCTGCCTGCTGTCTGTAATCTACAAGCTATTCACTCGAGTCATCCTTAACAGGATCGGCAGAATACTGGATGAAGGACAGCCATGCGAGCAAGCAGGGTTCCGAAGAGGGTTCAGCACGATCGACCATATCCACGCGTAGTACGGGAGGCATCATGAGTGTTGACGGGGGAGGAATGGAGTACAGATGCGCTTTGTCTCACGTTCATCGACTTGAAGAAGGCCTTCGACTCTGTGGAGACAGAAGCGGTCATCGAAGCCTTGGGCAACCAGGGCGTCCCTACTCAGTACATCAAGATTCTTCGTGAGCTCTACAGCAACTTTACGACCAGGATCTCACCATTCTACAAGGAGGTCATCATCGACGTCAAGAGGGGTCGAGACAGGGCGACACCATCTCGCCCAAACTCTTCAGCGCCGCTCTCGAGAACGTCATGCGTCAACTGGAATGGGAAGACATGGGAGTGAAGGTCGACGGCCGGCAACTATCACCTTCGTTTTGCTGACGACATCGTCCTTATAACGCCGAATCGAGCAATGTGGGTGATTTTCGACTGCGACGGTGTGGAAGGTGCGAGCGTAGGCTACAGGTGACACAGTCCGGGCGGGTGGCGGGGTGGTGGGGGCGGGCGGTCGGGGTCGGGGCACGGCGGACGTTCTGAACCTAACGAAGACGATGTTTATGAGAAACGGATTGGTTCCTGATGCCCATTCACGCTCAACGGAACGAACATCACCGAATGCTCCAGCTACGTGTACCTAGGTCGGGAAATCAATATGATGAACGATCTAGCTCCAGAGCTGAGCAGGAAACGAACGAGCGGCTTGGGGAGCGTATAAGAACATCGAGGGAGTAGTGAAGAAGACGAAGAACATCCGGCTCCGTGCCCACCTCTTCGATTCCGCTGTCCTTCCTGCCCTAACCTACGCCTCAGAGACTTGGACTCTGCGCAGGCAGGACGAGCATGCGGTCAGCGTTATCCAACGCGCTGTCGAGAGGACGATGCTAGGAGTAACCCTATACACGCAAGTGCAGAGGGGAATCCGGAGTTCGGAACTACGCCAACGATCGAAGATCAGCTTTCGCCAAGGAATCGAAGATAAGGTGGGCCGGACACGTCATGCGATTTTGCGATGACCGTTGGACCAGAGCGGTTACCGACTGGATCCCTCGGGACGTCAAACGAACACCTGGACGACCGCCGGCCCGATGGTCAGACTTCTTCACGAAAGCTCTGAACGAAAGGAATGAAGGACATCGTGTCCCTCGAGCGAGGAGGGTCCACTGGACAACTCTTGCACGCGACAGGGACGAATGGAGACGTTGCTGGCGCCCGATCAACGGGACGACAGGTGATACAGGTGATGCTTCACCCTATCCTACTTGTCCTTTTTATGGATCCTGTCTGTCCCGCGATGTAGGTTAAGCAGTGCTTTTTTATGTGACGAGAGAAGAATTTTGTGTGGACAAAACGCGCGTTGAAGGACCTCGTCTCCGCATTTTCTCTGAAATGATTGCGAAAGCTTTTTGGACACTTAACTTTCTTCAAACAGAACATACTTTCGGAATTGCATTGACTTTCATATGTTCAACGACACCCACGTCGCCCACCATATTTCTCAGATGCCATTCTGCAGTACCCCTTTAGATGTAATATTAAATTCTCCGGGAGAATTCTGTGACGTCCATCCACCACAGAGTAGATGAACCTGTGTTAGGTTATGCGACCCCAGACTCATACCTCTCCATCTGACCTAACCGGACTGGATGGAAAGGTAGTAGTAGCCGGTGGATGGTGGAGTCGCTTATCACGTGCACGGTGCGAGGAACAAGTTCTAGGCCGAACACCGTCTCGATCGATGGACCTTCCTTCTCTACAAGTCAGATAAACGGTACCACACTTGTCATGAAACAAAAATGATTCGGTGAATCGGTTGACTGCTACAAGTCATTCAAACTGCCAGTGCTGCATACTGAGTTCCCGTGGAATGTGGGGCGCATTCGAATACGGATTAAACACGTAAAAAGCCTTTTCTTTGATCTTTCAACGTAACTGAACTGACCACGAAGAAAGTTCCTGACACTGCATAATAGATCCCTTGCACTTCATTCACAGTACCTCTGCTCTTCCATTCGGATGCCGTACGACCACTACAGTTGTACTCGGATTCGTCAATTGTCCAAGGAAGATTCAAATAAAACACGTACATTCTATAACAGATAGAGCTAAGAAATTATCAACGCCGTAGCAGGATTTGTCGAGTATGCGGTTGAATAGAAGACTAGTTCAATGTGGAACTGATTGTGATTCTCACCGAATGAGTTAAGCACCAATCTAGTTCAATCTAGTCTACAAAAAACTACTCAGTGACAGCAATAAATGTCAATATAAGACCTTGTGATGTTTTCTGTTAGACGTCTGCAAGAGCGCAATATCAAGTTGTTCCATGAGTTATGAACTTTACTTCAGACCCACGCCTCCCCAAAACGTTCCTCCAACCAATGGGTTTCTTGGGCAGACGCTGTCCCTCTAACTTGGAAACCTTTTTTCAGCAGAAAGATGTTTCCTGGCACATTATAAACATCCAACACCAGAGTGAACCTACTACTATGATTTCAAGACCATCGCTTGTTGAGAGCCCGGGAACTAGTGTTTGTACAAATTTTTTTTTACAATCAGGAATATACAGGCATGGGAGTCAACTGACAGTAAACGGTCTAGGTATCCACTCCAAATTCACTGGCGAATTTTGTGATTGTTGAACGTGTAGATGAAGAGCGCACTGATTTAACTTTGAATCTCATTTAAGTACATGGAATTCCGTCTGTTATTCGGAAGACGTCTTTCCATAGTAAACTCATGGAGTTGTAAACACTCCTGATTGCACCCACATTGACAAAATTCTTGTTAACGCCAAATATTAATAATCAGGTTTCCCACTCCCTATCAACGCTGTTACTCAAAGCTAATTCTGTCAAGACCTTAAATATCTCAAATCAAATGCTCTTGCGTGTAAATTAAGAAGTGAGCTCGTTTTTATTAAAGGAATCAATTAATAAATATATATATATCAGAAGCCGCTATCATGTAAATGCTTTGATTGGGTATCAACGTCTCCAGAGTTTACCGAACCGGTACCGAGCTCCACAAAGACACAACCCCACGCAAAAGCCGTGTGAACGATTTCCTATGGTCTGTCTGTCCCTTTCATTTACCCTCTTTAGCCTCATAATCTCTCTCCGCGCCTAGTATCTCAATACCTTAGCATAGCCTATTACGAAGATGAGTGAGCCCTCAACTCAAACCGAAGGATTCTTTCCCTTTCTTCCTTTTGCTGGCTCATTTCACTCCATTACATTGGTATTCGCCGTGCAAGCCGCCACAGACCAGTTTTATCTGGGCATAACCCTCGAAACTAAGGTGATGTTGTATGATGCTGAACAACTTCCCACTAGCTTTTGAGCACATCCATGATCCGAGACTATTTATTCTCGCACAAGCAGATCAGTCGGTAGGTTGAAATAGCAGTAGAATAACCGTGAAGAAAGTTCGAAAACAGCGGGTCTCATTGATGTTGAGATGACGGTTACAGCCCTTGGGCCGTGTTTAGACTTTGCGTATCCAGCGTTCGGCTGACGAATCACAGGATATAAGCGTAGCGAATCGAGCTGCGGGTGACGGTCTAACGATGTGCCGACTCGCACCGTTTTGAAAATGTGCGAACTAACTGCTCGCCACTCCAAGCTCACGGCGTGAGAGGTTCGAAAGTACCGCGAGATCGTGCTAACGAATAGGGGGCCCTCCCACTCCCGGCGCAGGGTCGGTCCTACGTTGCTACAAGTAGCAACGGGGGGTCGTACTTTGATGAGTTTTTAGAGGGGGGTCGTACATTTTGATGAGTTTGTAGAGGGGGGGTCGTATATTTTGATGAGGTTGTAGAGGGGGGGTCGTACTTGCTTCGATTGTGAGAAGTTGCATGAGGTGAGGGAGGAGTGGCGCGGGAGAAAATTTGCCGTTTCAGCGCGCGTATATATCCCCCCTAGAAAATGAAGCGTGGGATTAAAGGTAGGAGGGGTAAATTGGTAGGAGGTAGGAGGGGGGTAAATTGGTGGAAATTTAGGGAATTTAGGTAATTTTTACGGTTTCAGAGTGACTATATACCCCCGCTCGACGGCATTTTTGGAGGAAAAAGTGGGCGGAGTTTCGTGGGTTGAGTGATACCAGAATGAAATACTATAGCGAGGAATATGGTGGTCGAGGGTCGAGAAGGGGGTCGTACCAAATCCACCTTTGGGGAGGGGGGTCGTAAAAATTTTTCGAAAAGTAGCAACGATAGGACCGACCCTGGTCCCAAGCAAGGGGGCGAACTGCAGCGACATAGTTGGTCCGGTGCAACGCTCGTATCCCGCGACTCGCTTGTGAATTGCTGGATTGCAAAGTATGACGTCGGCCTTATACAGAACTTCACTGTCGCAGGTGGCGCTTTTCAACAGAATGAGCAAAAATTACGGAAACAAAGCAAACTATCTGGAAGTCCTTCAAGCCAAGAGCATTGATTAGGAAGTATTTTGATGAAAACCACTCAACGTCTAGCAGGATAGCCCGCCTGACACAATACGAATGTTACAAAAAATTTAAATTTTCCGGAATTCATGGTATTTAACGAGCGACAATGTGATTCTCCCAGTTTAAGTTCTATGGATTACTGAGTAAAGAAACTAATTGAAGACGATAGTCTGCTCTGGGAATTCTCAAATTGGTGATGAATTGAATTTCCGAATCATTTTATGAAGGAAAGAAAAGCACTTGGTAAGTTCGACGTCATCTATCCACACTCGCGCTTTCAGAAGGAGTTTGCTCATGTATCAACGCAGGCAGCGGCAGCTTTAAGAAGGAAGGCTGTATTCTGTTTGATAACCTCCGGCATTGTTTTCCACTGATGTCTTTTCCCTTTGATCTACAGCTACTCATAAGATGTTTTGTCTCTGCTAGCAGGAACAAAACAAACAAATAATATAATAAATACATTGTGGTGTTTGAAAAGACTCAGCAAACCATCGGACCCAAAGGCTGTGGGAGCATTTGGTGACTAGACAGCTCATACAATGCAAATGACAGCATAGTGCCTTCAAGAAGCTCTTTGAAATAGGAGCCGGAGTAAAAAAATTATGACGAAATAGGGTGACGTTTGCGAAGCATGCATAAAAGCATAGAAGATGTAAATATGCATTCGAAGTAGTTACAGAGAAATTACATGTTCAATCTGTAGCCTAGACAAGAGGCATCAGTATAATTTGTGCTTTTTTCAGTCTCTTCAATGCGAACGTGTAATTATGATGTTTCTTTAAAAGCTAGGAGAATTACATCTGTTTTGTTAAGATTTTTTGGATGAGTAACAAAGGAATGCCTCTGAAAGGCTCGAATGACACCAAGAAAAGCACAACTGAGAAATGACCGAGTAGTGGGACGGATGTCACCATATCAATAAGTTACATCGAAAGTGGTTGCCTTTTTTGCATAAATTTTGGTAAAATAGTAAAGACAAATGAGTCAAATTACTTTATCCTCAATGCTACCTTTTATTGCTTTTCTGGAAGGAGTTGAAATTCGTGATGGGAATACTTTTTTGGTCCAACACCCTATTGTCACAGCACCCAACTTTTCATGTTTTTGTGAGGCTCCTCAATCGAGCAGCGTTGAGATCAATGGATATAAATTCTTTTCAGCAAGGATCATAAAATAGGATGGGTGCGGGATATTTGTCCATGCCATTTCTATCAGTGTTTTTTGATGTGAGCTCCGTGAGGGATCGTGCCTTAACGCAGTCTTATTTATTTTATTCATTTATCATAGCTATTGTACAGTGTTATGTTATGTCAGTAGGCATATGAATAAAAACGGAGTAACAATAGGGAATATGACAGGGCAATTAAATAGGAAAGAAATTGGAAAAAAATGGGAGAAGAATTCCGTCAATATACAGTAGCTGGTATATCCTACTTACTATAAAGCGTTGTCGTCAAATTTAAATTTTCCGGAATTCATGGTATTTAACGAGCGACAATGTGATTCTCCCAGTTTAAGTTCTATGGATTACTGAGTAAAGAAACTAATTGAAGACGATAGTCTGCTCTGGGAATTCTCAAATTGGTGATGAATTGAATTTCCGAATCATTTTATGAAGGAAAGAAAAGCATTGGTAAGTTCGACGTCATCTATCCACACTCGCGCTTTCAGAAGGAGTTTGCTCATGTATCAACGCAGGCAGCGGCAGCTTTAAGAAGGAACGCTGTATTCTGTTTGATAACCTCCGGCATTGTTTTTTTTCCACTGGTGTCTTTCTGGAGGTATGGGTTTCCCATGTTCATTCTAGCTAATCATCAAAATCTTTGCCCACCGCGCACATTCCCCTTTGATCTACAGCTACTCATAAGGTGTTTTGTCTCTGCTAGCAGAAACAAAACAAACAAATAATATAATAAACACATTGTGGTGTTTGAAAAGACTAAGCAAACCATCGGGCCCAAAGGCTGTGGGAGCATTTGGCGAATAGACAGCTTTTACAATGCAAATGACATCATAGTGCCTTCAAGAAGCTCTTTGAAATAGGAGCCGGAGTAAAAAAATTATGACGAAATAGGGTGACGTTTGCGAAGCATGCATAAAAGCATAGAAGATAGAAATATGCATTTAAGTAGTTACAGAGAAATTACATGTTCAGTCTAGCCATAAACATACATAGCCATAAACAAGGGGCATCAGTATAATTTGTGCTTTTCTATGCAGTCTCTTCAATGCGAACGTGTAATTATGATGTTTCTTTAAAAGCTAGGAGAATATCTGTTTTGTTAAGATTTTTTGGATGAGTAACAAAGGAATGCCTTCCCTATCGAATGACACCAAGAAAAGCACAACTGAGAAATGACCGAGTAGTGGGACGGATGTCACCATATCAAGAAGTCACATTGAAAGTGGTTGCCTTTTTAGCATAAATTTTGGTAAAATAGTAAAGATAAATGAGTCAAATTACTTTATCCTCAATGCTACCTTTTATTGCTTTTCTGGAAGGAGTTGAAATTCGTGATGGGAATACTTTTTTCGTCCAACACTCTATTGTCACAGCACCCAACTTTTCATGTTTATGTAGACTGAGATCGTGAGGCTCCTCACTCTAGCAGCGTTGAGATCAATAGATATAAATTCTTTTCA